TTACAATTATGTAAAAACCTGCCATACCGCTGAAAAAATTGCATCACTGTTAAAATATACATTAAATCAAAACTTGAACTGAAGATATAATTATTCATTGAAATGAAAATTATAATAAATTTGTAAATTCTAGGTGAAACCTGCCAAGAGAAAAGTTTCGTCATAAAAAATAACCACAGTATATTTCCATGAATAGAAAAATATTACAAATATATATATTGTCGCCATTTTATGTTTTAATTTCACTCATGCGCATTTTTTAAAAGATTTTTGTCGATTGCACAGTATAGTAGGGTCAGTTGGGCACTGTAGGTAAGAAAAAGAGCACCACAAAAGTAGAATAGCTCTGATAGAAAAGAACTCTCGAGTTTGTTGGTAAGGGCCACAAACTCGAAAACAGAGGCCTACATCATGTACCTTGAGGAGGTAGTGTTGCCCTGAGTCAAAAGGTTGGTTGCTGGAAGACCCGATATCTGGTAACAGGACTCTGCACCATGCAACAGAAGCAGAACAACCAAGTCATGGATGTCTGACAATTTCTGCAACTATATCTACCGGTTACTTGATGTTTGCGAGATTTATGTCAGGGGAAAATAACTAGTAAAATTACATGACGAATACAACGTAAAAGCCTTTTTTTCTTTTAGATAATTTTTTTTAACTACTCAGTAATTTTAGAAATTGAAACATTTTAAACATTCTAATATTTTATTGAATTTTAGGTACATTGGCTTTATAGTTTTTCTTTTAAAGACGCTTGTTGAGGAAACATTATAAAATTACGAATAAATTATAAATTTACTATAGTTACTGCTCTTATTTTCTGATAATGACGTGTATGGACGTCTGTAATTACAAAAATCTGCATGTTTATACACAGACACAATCAAAATTCTTTTTAAAATACTTGAAGCGCTGAATTGCAGCAAGCTTTTCGATTTATGATTAGTAAATATAGTTTTACTTAACAACAATATCACTTGACCGTACAAATCAATACAAAATTTTAAGAGTTAAAATTTTATAAATTATTCTTACCAAAATTAAAAGCAAATGAAAACCATTCTTGTAAAAGTTAATTATTCATCAGAAAATATTTTTAAGACAATAATGCCTATAAATAAAACAAAGGCTTTCTAATAAATAATCTCTTAGTTTTATTTCATTTTTTATTTTACGATTCAGAGTATATTTTTCATAACTGGCGTACTGTTTGACCAAAAGCATTTGATGATTTAAATTCTCCAAGGACTTGTCCTTATAACTAATATAAACATTAAGCGCTACAAAAATGAATTTCTTAAAATGTCTTACACTTAAATAAGTGTGGGGTAACAAATATATATATATATATATATATATATATATATATATATATATATATATATATACCAAGATTTTCTAAAAAAAAAAAAAAAAACGTTTAAAAAAATAATTTCATTTATTTGTGAATACGTTCTGAAAGGCTCATTAACATTACTTGATTTTTTGCAAGAATTTCCAAAACAATGTGTTTTTCACCGCAAAAAGACACTAATATTACATGTACTAATTCATAGTGTTATTTTGACGTTAAAGAAACAAGAATTTTTTAAACCAAAATTTTGAAGGTGCTAAAAAGGATAAAAAAAATAATTTTTCCATCAAAAAAATCTTTTGGTCTTTTTTAATAATAACAATTTTTTTTTCTTTTTACAATAAAACTTAATTCTTATTAAATTTTGGCCATTTTTTCATCATGTATGCTCATTTTTATAGCAAATCTCTGAAGGTACCTTTATAACTTAATAAAAAATATCAAGGACATATAATTTAGAGGACATTTTGTATAAGTGCTGATTTAAAGACGCATACAAATTGGCCTTTTCATATGAGATAATGATTCAACCGAAAAAGCCAAACTTACGTAGATGAAAGGAGAGAAAAAAGATGATATGGCCGGCAGGGAAATTTGCAGACCCCCAGTGACAGGTAGATGATAAATTTAAAAATAACTTGAAACCCACACAAAGCTTGCTTGTTATGTAACTTTGGATCTAAGAGGAAGGATATTGCGAAAAAGAAAAAAAAATGAGTGGGACACAAATCCGAGACGGGCAGAGGTATGATGAGTCAGATAAATGCGAGCAAAAGATAAAAAACGAAGTAAAAACAGAAAGTAGAACTCCAAAAATAATGAAGTTGTAAGAAACATAACATTTTCTTTCTGTCAAATATATATATATATATATATTATATATATATATATATATATATATATATAATATATATATATATATATATATATAATATATATATATATATATATATATATATATATATATATATATATATAATATATATATATATATATATATATATAATATATATATATATATATATATATAATATATATATATATATATATATATATATATATATATATATATATATATATAATATATATATTATATAATATATATATTATATAATATATATATATATATATAGTTTATGCAAAACTAGGTAATCCGTATGAGGTAGACCCAAGTTCAATGTAAATTAGATAAATATGTTTGAATAAAAAACAGACCACTTTAAGGTTTCATGTAATAAATTTTTTTTTTCATTTCAACATTTGGAAGTAAAGTCTGATGATCCGCAGTCCTTTAAAAGGGCTGTGGTGTAATAATTTATTACATGGAACCTTAAAGTGGTCTGTTTTTTATTCAAACAATATATATATATATAAAAAAAAAGGTAATCATACACAGAATTAACCAGTAAAATTTATGGCGAAATCTCTTCGCAAACAAATTTAACAAAGCATTAACCTAGTAACCATGAATAAGGCGATTCTCATGTTTAAAATTGTAAGAAGGATTTGATATTCCGGTGTTGCTAGTACTTTCGAAAATCTTCACATTTTCATAATCGCGATTTAATATTGTTTCCATTTCAGATAAATTCCAAACCGAAATAAATGTATTGTAGACCGAAAGATTTTTTTTTAAATTTTTTTTTTTAAGAATGTGTTATTTATTAACTGTTACATAATTTGTTGTATTTTGAATATTTCAAGTGAGAATAATATTTATAATATAATATATATACTGCAGTATGTAATGTATATTTATATGTGTGTGTGTTACAAAACCGGACAGATATAAAGATTCTGAGAAAATAATCTGGGTTGGGTGAAGAGGATTTGCCTTCTTTAAAAAGGGAAAAATAGAGTCTTGCTGTATAGTTCTTGGTGGATGAGCGTTAAAGCACGCGGGATCAAACGGTGGTTTCCCCTTTAAAGAGGGGACGCAGGTGTGATCTCTGCTTGGGAACACATTTTTCTTCACCAAGATTTCTCGAATACGCAGGACAGTAGAATATGGTCTCATGGTCCAGTGGATAGAGGCGTTGGCTGAATCCAGTGACATGACCCAAAGAGTTGTGAGGTCAATACCTGGCTACAGCAGAGGTGAAGAAAAACTTGTACAGTGGAGTTAAAAGGTAGATAACTGATACTGAGACATCATGGAAGAGGCATTGCACGTGGAACTAGAACAATCTACCCAGGTGGACGAAATAAAGGGTTCAGTTCGAAATTTCAATCACCTGACGAAGACCGGAGCATACAATGGCCGAAACGTTGTGAATATGGCAATAAAAATAAGGACAACAGCTCGAACAATGTAAATGGTGGAAATAATTAAAATACCTCATCTCAGAAATATAGATAGATATAGAATGATAGACATAATACACACATTTGAATAAACGAAACTGGAGCCCCTATTTCGCATGCCAAGTATCCAGGATCACTCAGGAAAAGACTCAACTCATGTCACATTCAGAAAAATTTTGTCAACATCTATTAAAGTCAAAAGGACTACCTTGGTGATAAGACATGTCCCACGGGTCATTAGTAAAGTGTTGGGTTTTTCTGGGTACCCCATCTTTATAGCCTTGTGTCAGATTCAGTCAAGCCTAATAAATACCAGTTTTCATCCAATCAAGTTTTCATAATGTCAAACCTTTTATGTCCACTTTCTTTTGGAAATACACAAATTTAAAATGAAACTGTCATGTTCTTGTTTAAGTTGATGATTAATTTACGACTCAAATAAATGTTGTCTTTAATTCAGAATTGTCCTAATTTATATAAAATTTGTAATTTTTTCAACTGCTTATCTTTCCAAAAGTGCCGTTTTAAAAGAAACTTCAGTTAATTGAAAAATTTTATTTCATTCTTTCATGTGTCAAAAATGATGTACGAGATTATTGCTGACCCAGGTTTAGCAACATGACTCATAATGCAGGGTGTGGTCCTCCAACCCGGTTACCTGGGTGCTTCTCTCGGGTTTATGAAACCCAACCCACTCACAGAAAAGTACCGGTATTTATACTTATTAGCCTTATCTTAGTATGGCACAAGTTCAAAAGACTCACTGAAGGCTTTTTAATGATAAGATACCCTCAATTTTGTACAAAAAGAAAAAGTGTACGACATTCTGTGAGGAACATAATCACTAAGGTTGGGTACCTCGGCGTGGTGTAGTGGTTAGCAAGCTTGTCTCGCCAGATCAGTTACGACTGAAAAGTGAGTTCGATCCTCACTAGGTGCTCCATACTTTCGGCCTTGTACCACATCTAAGCGAGGCTTAGAAAATAACCATAATCATTACGGTATTATTAAACTGCTAGATTAACATGGTATACTTTGCCAATATGGTGAGGCAATTCATTTAATTCTGATTACCTATGGATTAAAACAGCATAAGGGATAAGGAAAAGAATGAGAAGATACATGCAAAGGGCGAAATAAGTGTAGAGGCAGGAGATATTGGAATTTTTTTTATCGAGTTGATGCTGAAACTATGAAATAGATAACTTCAGAACAAACTCCCACTCACCACCAAAAAGAAAGATTTCTTTTCTCATAGTACCTTTTTTTGTCTATGATATGCTTAAAATACTGCCATGTAACTCTGAGATTGGGCTAAGCAAGATATTCTTATCCTCACAGTTGGGCATAATCAGGTTGACATGCTGGCTAACGAAAGATGGACAACGTTGGAAGATAGAGAAAACAGCCGGGGAAAGAGAGAGAGAGAGACGGAAAACAGACGGGAGAGAGAGAGAAAAAAAACAGGCGGGAGAGAGAGAGAGAGAGAGAGAAAGAAAGAAAAAACGGGCGGAGAGAGAGAAAAAAACGGGCGGGAGAGAGAGAGAGAGAAAAAAAACGGGCGGGAGGAGAGAGAGAGAGAAAAAAACGGGCGGGAGAGAGAGAGAGAGAAAAAACGGGCGGGAGAGAGAGAGAGAAAAAAAAAACGGGCGGGAGAGAGAGAGAGAGAGAAAAAAAACGGGCGGGAGAGAGAGAGAGAGAAAAAAAAACGGGCGGGAGAGAGAGAGAGAGAGAAAAAAAACGGGCGGGAAGGAAAGATAGAGAGAGAAAAAAAACGGGCGGGAAGGAAAGATAGAGAGAGAAAAAAAACGGGCGGGAAGGAAAGAGAGAGAGAAAAAAAAACAGGCGGGAAGGAAAGAGAGAGAGAAAAACAACAGGCGGAATGGAAAATGAGAAGGTGAGAGAGGAAGGAAAATGAGCGGGAGTGAGATCGAGAGAGAGAGAGAGTAAGAAAAAATGACAGAGAATGAGAGAGAAAAAGATGGTGAAGAGAGAGAGAGAGAAAGAAAAGATGGTGAAGAGAGAGAGAGAAAGAAAAAGAGAAAGAGAGAAGAGAGAAAAGAAAAGATGGTGAAGAGAGAGAGAGAGAAAGAAAAGATGGTGAAGAGAGAGAGAGAGAAAGAAAAGATGGTGAAGAGAGAGAGAGAGAAAGAAAAGATGGTGAAGAGAGAGAAAGAAATGATGGGGAAGAGAGATAAAGAAATGATGGGGAAGAGAGAGTGAGTGACAGGGAACAGATGGGGAAGAGAGAGAGAGTGACAGGGAACAGATGGGGAGGAGAGAGAGAGACAGGGAAAAGATGGGGAAGAGAGAGAGAGACAGGGAAAAGATGGGGAAGAGAGAGAGAGACAGGGAAAAGATGGGGAAGAGAGAGAGAGACAGGGAAAAGATGGGGAAGAGAGAGAGAGACAGGGAAAAGATGGGGAAGAGAGAGAGAGACAGGGAAAAGATGGGGAAGAGAGAGAGAGAGAGTGACGGGGAAATGTTGGGTAGGAGAGAGTGACAGGGAAATGTTGGGTAGGAGAGAGTGACAGGGAAATGTTGGGTAGGAGAGAGTGACAGGGAAATGTTGGGTAGGAGAGAGTGACAGGGAAATGTTGGGTAGGAGAGAGTGACAGGGAAAAGATGGGGAAGAGAGAGAGTGACAGGGAAATGTTGGTAGGAGAGAGTGACAGGGAAAAGATGGGGAAGAGAGAGTGACAGGGAAAAGATGGGGAGAGAGAGAGGAGATGGGGGAAATGTTGGGTGATGGGGAGAGAGTGACAGGGAAATGTTGGGTAGGAGTGACAGAGAAAGTTGTGTAAGAGAGAGTGAGAGAGAGAGAGCAAAAAAGATGAGTACAGAATGGTGGGAAGGAGAGTGTAAAGTGAACAAAGTTGGTGAAACGAATTACAAAATTGACTATGCAACCCAATTTCCTAAACCCAACATTTTATTCATGGATTTTGGCAAATGTAAACTTCATTTGAAATGATTTTTTTTGAAAATTTTACTTACGATTCAATTGGAAGAAATCCAGACGACTTTGCGTTTGTCGTCGTCGTTTCCTCCTTTTTCTTCTTCTTCTTCGGTCAAAGTAGGAATCAAGATGTAGTAGACTCAAGACGATGCCCATAGCATTTATAAAGATACGTTCTCGCGGGATTTCCCTCTTCTTGGTGCGAAGTTAATGCTTGGATTAAACGCTTAACAAATGAACGGACGGGCAGATTAAAGCCACTGGCGGTTTTGGAAAAGAGTACACCCCAAATCTTGTTAATATGGCGCATATATTTCATTCGAATAAGAGAAGAACTAAGAATGAGAAGGAGGTGGTTCAAAGAGGTCAGGGTGGATATGGTGGCGGTGTGGCAAAAGAAATCGAACTACTTGGAAACAGTAGAATGGATAGGGAATATTACTACTAATAATAAAGAGTTTTAGACGCGAACAACTGCAAATCGTAGTAACAAGTAATACAAATATATCAGGTCAGATTTATGACATTTAACAAATTAGATAAAAGCAAGGAAAAATAACGAGATAACACAGACATTTTTCTATCACGTCGGTCGACACATACAAAAGGAATTATTAGTTCGTTCAGTTTCATCATCACCATGGAAATGGCAGACTACTCTCCTCTATTTCCTAAAACTCGTCACGTCAATGGAGTCATGATTGCCTACCTCCCGAAGAAGGAGAGAAACCATTAATCAAATGGGGATTTTCGCTAATGCAATTAAGATTTGGATATCCCTGTCTCTGTCATGGCTGATAGATACATGAACATTTGGTGAAACTACTCTCCTGTAAGCTTGTAGCAACAGTAAAAAACAATTAAACCCCTTGACAACAGAATCTTCTATGGATATCGTTGTAAATGAGAGAAGCAAAAATGGTGTTAATGACCAGAAAATAATGTCATATTAAGAAACAATGATATTTAAAAAAATGTGATCGACTAAGCTGTATGTCTAGATGCGGCGGACACCAAATTTTTTTAAAATTATACCTGTTAAAACTTGATAAAAGCAAATGAAAAAAATCGAAAATTAAATGCCGCTAAATAAAACCAACCAATATGAAAGAACTCTTTCGTGACATTAATCCATATAATATCCTATAATTTCTTAAAGAAATCAGACTGTATTCCAATATATAACTTCAAAAAAACAAAAACAAACTAAAAAAACAACTACAACATAAAACATACATATCACTGCCTCTTGTAATTATGTCCACGCAAACATGTATATGCAGAAAAGCTGAGTATTATCTACAATTACAATTATCTACATTATTCAATTGTGAAAGCAGAACAACATGTATCATATTTTTATTAATTTCAAGCTCCCAAGAAGACTAAATTTCGGTATTGAATGACCCATAAGTTGTTGATATGCCGTTAAACAAATAAAACAAACTAATTTACACAAACTCCTAGTTTCTAAAAATGAATGGGCTAAAGTCGGCAGAAAAAACCTACCGTATATTTTCGCGTATAAGACGACCTTTAAATCCCAAAAATCACCCTTAAAAACCGGAGATCATCTTATACTACAAAAGCAACCTTAAATTCTGAGTGATGTTTGTCGGTAGACTAACCTCAACCTCGGCGTGATAACCAATAACATACATGAAAAACTACATAATAAATTACTTATTCGAAGAATAATTCCATATCAATGAAATCAACTTGTATCCATGCAAGCTCAGCTGAGAAAATGTAAACATCAAGTTATGATTACCTTCACAGCAACCTTTATCTTTCGCTAAACTTTCAATAATCAACTGGCTTAGACAGAAGGTAGGAACAGACTGAATAAAAAAAAATGTTGAAAGCGGAATGTACTATAATTGTCGATGAAGTATAAGTAAATGGCCATTAGTATACCAGGATGTTTGTAACTGTTTAGATATAGGAAAAGAAGAAGAAGGAGTATTCACAAGAGATCACGTGATGAAACGTAAACAAAATAATGGTTTCCCTTTTAGAAGGCGTGCGCAGAGAAAATATAATATAGAATCGGTCTTGTTATTTCGTTTATTTTGAATTTCTAAGGATACAATAAGTACCAACATTTCCAATAACATCATCTTTATATAATCAATAAGCAGTCGTCTTATACTACAGGTATAGAATGAATACATAAAAATGACCTGGTCTCATCTAAAGGTCACCTTATACGCTGAAATATACGGCAATTACAAGTTTAGCGAAATTCAGACCATCGAATACACAACTGGAAGCTCTTAGACAAGGTTTAAAATTTGCCACCAGATTTCTGAAAAATGATATTACGGATTTCATTATTAAAATTACCAATGCAATGACTCGAATTTCAGCAAAGGATACATTCAGGGTCTAATTACAGTCTCATTTGAGAAAAACACAGTGAAACCATATTTCCCTGCAGATATATGAAAGCTCTCTAAGAAATATCAAATAACAAAAACATTCCGATAAAGGCGGGGGAATTATAATTACGGACATATCGCCAAGAAAAAGAAAAAGAAAAAAAAATGAAAATCCTTCTTGGAGACGGCACTATTTATAGAAAAAAAAAACAAAAAAAAAACGAAGCCAAGGTCAGAAAAGAGACGCAAAGATTTAAAAAACAAAACCAGAAATTATTTTAAAATATTATATTAAAAAAAGAAAAGAAAAAAAAACAGTTTCTGGCTTAAAACTCATTGATCACCAGAAAACCCCTACATTCTACGGATGACCAAAAGTACATAAACTAGTTATCCCGATGAGTCATTATATCAGGAATAGGTAGCGTCACCATAGAAACTAGCCAGCAAAATAGCAAAATTTTTTACCCCAATCTTGGCACAATTAGCTCCTCGCATATAAAAAAAAAACTCTGGTGATATTTTAAATAAATTAAAAAACAAACATACCCTACCACAAAAAGAAAAATTTGTTTATAGTTACTTTGTTCAAACTTTTTTCAATAAATAATTGTCGTTCTAAAAAAAAAAAAAAAATAAATAAATAAAATAAAATAAAATAAAAAATTAAAAAAAATTATAGAAAAACCCAAATATATGACCAGTTTAGATATAAAATCTGTTTATATACAAATGTTCCTGTAAAGAAATGCCTAAATTTACTAAAAACACATTTAAGAAAAATTAATCGAACCTGTATCCTCTTTTCCACCAGGGAAACCACTTCTATAGTCGATAATTTTATAGTAATAAGAGACAATGTCGGATAAAATATACATAAATGGATGTGTGTGATGTTCGTGATTATATGAACATATATATCGGAGGATGCAGGTTCGATTCCTGTCGAACGCATAATTTTTGTTTAGTAAGACTTCTCAATCTAGGCCGGTTGTTATTAAGTTTAAGAATATAAAAATATAGGGATATCAACAAAAGATGGCCTTCTTCTGTAAATAAGTAACAGTTATATATATATATATATATATAATTAAGCAAGATCAACCTTGAACATACTGACAGTTTATAAGAAATAAATGTGTGTGAGTGAGAGAGGTACCCCCTCACAGACACATTCAGCGCGAAATCTCTGGTTGCCACGTTTAGTGTCTGCTGACCCTTTAACGGCTGGTTCAACACGATAAGAAGTGAAACAAATAAATCAGATCTGTCGACCTGTACAACATCAACAACGAAATTATGCAAGCCTTCCAGAAATTTGGGGATGGGTGGGCAGGTAGAAATGAGACGACACCCCTTTCCACATCCGTTACCCAGGACCCAAATCATTCTTGCATGAATCAAACTACAGGTCAAATGATCTAGTCAGTATGACATTTGGAATTTATTATTTATATAAATATATTGTTCCATATATAAACCTCTCCCTCATAACTATGGTCCAGGCAGTAAGGACCAAAAAAAAAAAAAAAAAAAAAAAAAAATAATGGTTTGCAGCAATGTTTGAGAGAATTAGACAATTTCTGAAAGACCTACCAAAAATGAGCACTTGAATTGTGTACTAGTTCGGGTCTCACTCGTATTAATAAATATATATATGACTATATCGAGTATTTTAACACTATGTAAAAGGAAACTTTATCACTTAACTTCCTTTCCTCCTCCTCCGTTCACCTCACCCCCACTTTCCTCCTCCTCCGTTCACCTCACCCCCACTTTCCTCCTCCTCCGTTCACCTCACCCCCACTTTCCTCCTCCTCCGTTCACCTCATTCTCTTTACGGCTATATCACGTTGCAACACCGGTTCCAGTACGATCACCAAAGTTAAGCAACGTTCAACCTGGTCAATGCCTAGATGTGTGACCACTTGGGAACACTAGTTACTGTAAACTTGGGTGTGCGAGTCGGGGTGATGGATAATCGCGCGATGGTATCATTAATCGGATAGCAGAGTTCCAATTCCAGTCGGGTTCGTTATATTCACTTGCGCGCAAATACCCTTGGAAAAGGTATGAATCCTCCTCTTCAACACCCCCAGGTATGGGCTAATTAGTAAAACAAATCACTTATCTCAAAGAAAAAATTCTTACAATCTAAAAAATATTTTCTGGCTTTAAATAACCTGCAAAATGTTGATAAACTGTAAAAAACGAATCAGTCTTCCCTCTTTTGCTAGTCAGTTCATTCTCTTTCCTTCTTCGGTCACTTCACTCCCCCCCTCCCCCGACACTTCCCTTACATTAAATCCATTCTCTTTCCTCCGGCCACTTCAGTTTATTTTCTCCTCCTCTCATCGTTCAATTCATTCTATTCAAGCGTAGAAACGTAGGTAGGTAGGTATTTGATCGCTTTTCCTTCAAGATAAGTAACACTTTCCCTGGAAATATTATAAGACATAAAGAATTTTCTTTCTAGTTATTTGCCATAAATTGGTCTGTCTTTAAGCAGTTTTTCTTTCGTGCTGTAGTCAAATTGCTGAGCTGATTGAAGCAGACGCATTGTCTTGGAAATTTTCTGCAAGAGAAAATCGGCGATAGGGATGGAATTGGAAAAGGAAGATGATGTGGAGGGCAGAAGAAAAGGGGCGAAAAGCGAGAGGGTAAGAGGGAAAGGAAAGAAAGCAGAGAGAAAACAGGATGGCGAAGGCAGAGAAAGTGTGAAGGAGAGGCGGAAGGAGAATATGGTAGTAGTAAAAAAAAAAAAAAAAAGAGTAAATGAAGAGAGCGAAAGAAAATAAAGAACAAGGAAAGAAAGAAAATAAAGAGAAGAGAAAAGAGCAGAGAAGAGAGCAAAGAGAGCGAGCGAAGCAAGTGGGGAGAAAAGAGGAGGGGGAAGCGAAAAAGAGAACGAAAGAGGAGGGGGAAAAAGAGAACGAAAGAGGAGGGGAAGGAAAAGAGAACGAAAAGAGGGGGAAGAACGAACGAGGAGGGGGGGAAGCGAAAAAGAAGAAAAGAAGGGGAAGCGAAAAAAGAAGGAGGGGGAAGCGAAAAAGAGAACGAAAAGGAGGGGGAAGAAAAAAGAAGAAAGAAGGGGAAGCGAAAAGAGAACGAAAGAAGGGGGAAGAAAAAGAGAACGAAAGAGGAGGAAAAGAGAACGAAAGAGGAGGGGAAGAAAAAAGAGAACGAAAGAGGAGGGGAAGGAAAAAGAGAACGAAAGAGGAGGGGGGAAGGAAAAGAGAACGAAAGAGGAAACGAAAAAGAAGAAAGAGGAGGGAGGAAAAGAGAAGAGGAAAGCGAAAAGAGAACGAAGAGGAGGGGGAGAAAAAGAGAACGAAAAGGAGGGGGAAGGAAA